CTGGAGTAGAAGCCGGTGGGGCGACGGGACGTATGGCGACGGTCGGGGCCGGGGCGAGCGCGGCTGCGGCCGGGAGGAGGTGGAGGAGAGGCCGGCGGCTGGGGGCGGGGCGGGCGCGCGGGAGGTCGAGGGGCGGCCGGCGACGGCGGGGGAGACTAGCAGCGGCGGACGCGGGCCTGGGCGCGGGATTTTTCCCTCCCGCCTAAGGATAGCCGCCAAATGAGGGTTGGGGTAGGTTTTGCTCCTCAACCCTTACTTTTCAGGGTTGGGAGAGGGTTTGAGGGTTGGACCCTTAAAAAAATTTAAGGGTTTGAGGGTTAAGGGGTTCTAGTCTACACGATTTCTTGCTCGCAAACTGTAAAAAAGCAGTTATTTATAAGGGTTTGGAGGTTTGAGGGCTCTGCTAGAGATGCTCTTATAGCATCTTCAGCAGACCTCGTATAGATGGTCAAACCCATAAAATAACCATTTTTTGTAATTTTAATAAAAAGAAGATCCGGACAAATCCTTTAAAATCGTCCGACCTTTAAAAAATTTTAACGAGCCCCGTAAACATGTAGCCGAAACCCTCGTATCTATAATTTTGATGGCAACTTTTACAAAGCCCTAGATACCAATCAACGTTGGCGGTTGAAAAATCTCTACTCCGGCTAACGCCATGAAGCTCGCCCGGCCGCCCGGCCACCACGCCCGTCCGTCCATGCCGGCCGGCCGGCCGCGTCGTCCACCCCGGCCACAGCGCACAGCGACGGAGGTGCTAGCTAGCTAGCTCGCTTTTGGATGGATTCGAGCTAGGCTAGCTAGCTAGCTCGCTCCTGGATGGATTGGAGCAGAGCTAGCTAGCTAGCTCTTGATCGATTCGAGCAGATCTAATGGATGGATCCCGCGGCTCTATTTTTGACCGTTTCGTGTGTTATTTGTCGATTTTGCGGAAGCAAGCTAGCTGACTATGGACACGGATGAGAAGAAGAAGAAGATGTGAAGAAAGAATATAAGTGAATATTCCGTTTTACAGTTTAAATTTGAGGGGTCTGTTCTGCCGCAGTAAAAACCGATCCTTAAAACGCGTTTTTCATGAACTGCAAAAGTGTTTTGCGGATCGGCAGGATATAGGGTCTGCTAGAGATGCTCTTAGAGTCGCAACAACCTTCGCGTCACTATCGGGGCGGCAATCCTCTCGATCAGCTGCTGCATTGAGCACTTGCGCTTGCACGATCCGAACTACGCTTGCTATAGAAATGACACCACGCCAGCCCATGACGGCTAGGCTTTTCCCTTAACTCTCTTTTTGTCATTTTAGTTTTTGCTTATTTTACTTATGCCACTCTAGAATTTAACATTTTACTTTTACCATTTTTTGCTTTTAACAATACATCATAAATGCACCGTGGCAAAAACAATAATGTTTTATTTCACTTTTGCCATTCTTAACTTTTGACAATGTATTACAATTGTCACTTCAAATATTTTGTTTTTGCCACGGAATGGCAAAAGTGGTATATTATCAAAAGCTAAGAGTGACAAAAGTGAAATGTCAAATTCTAGAGTGGCATAAGCACAGTGGACAAAAGCTAAAGTGGCAGAAACAAAGTTTTCCCTCGATTGAGAACTGTTTTCCCTCGATTGAGAACTTCATAAGTCTGGGTCGATTTCTGTATACTGCAACTTCAGAATAGTTCTTTTTCTAGTATGCGCTGAATTTATTTTTTAGCATGTGTTGGCCTTAAGGCGGTTATCATCTTGTGCAAAACGTGCATCCGCTTAAGGCTCTACTGAAAATTTTTCCTTTTATTTGAAGAGGGTTTCCTATGGAGTTGATCTGCAATGCTAGTACATATATCGGCGTAATTCAAGATAAGCTCGCAATATGCATGTCAGAAAAGGAGAGCTATAGCTCCCGGTGCAGGAAATATGCCAACCAGAAGAAAGGGACATAAGAAAAGACACTATAGAAAAGGCACAGTTACGTGGCTCATCAAGAAAACAGTCTCTCTCGAGTCTTGAGCACTGCATTACAATCCATCTATTCAATCAGCAGACGTACATTACATTAACTGATGCGATCACGCATGCTCCTAAACCTCCTATCATGGACTTCGACCCTTTGAGAAACCCCTGCAGTACGGGAACAAAAGCAAGTTAGGACGGCCATGGATCACCAACCGGCCAGGACAAATGAACATATGATTGAGTACTTAATCAGCCACTAGGAGCAGTCGATCAGTTGATGATTAGACTAAAGCAAGGCGCGTGTGCATGCCGTGTTCATTTGTGTTTTGTTCGAAAACGAAGGGCGAGACCTTAAATCAGTGTCCCGCGTCGTCGTCGACAAGCTCGCGCCACCCACTCCTCCGGCAATGGCGGCAATACCACTACACGTACGTACATTTCCGCTACAAGCTTTTAGATCTTTTGCTTCTATATATATAGCCATGTTGGCGTTTGTGGCTTGGCAGTAAGCACTAGCCAGCAAAGCTACTCTCCTTCCTTCATTCCTCCTCCCCGGCCGGCTGGTAAGTTGGTCGGTCAGGCCTCAATCACCATGGGCGGTTCGTCGACGTTCATGCCGGCGCCTGCCATGGCGACGACGGCTCTGATACTCCTCCTAGTGTTTTCGTCGTCGCCAGCGGTGGTGGCGTGGAAAGATTCCGGACTGTCCGTAGGGTTCTATAAGGAGTTGTGTCCCAAGGCCGAGAAGGTCGTCCGGCGAGTCGTCACCAAGGCCTTCAAGAAGGAGCCCGGCACCCCCGGCGACATCATCCGCCTCTTTTTCCACGACTGCTTTGTCCGTGTAAGCCGCTCGCTGATGTTCACTAAGTTTGAGTTCATGATGTTTTGCACGGCAGTTTTTACTCGATTTTTGCCACTTAGAGTGGACTTAATAAACCCAGTGTAGGTGCACCTTTTATCTGTGCCGTCCCTTTTCACGGGGAGATCCATGATGCTAGCTAACTAAGTTCATTCCATGCAAAAATAATATTATTTGCAATATTTATGGCGCACCACAAGTTCTGAAATATTTTTACACACGGTAGATATAATGATTCGTTGACCTGAAAAGTTGATATTTTGTTTGCGAGAAATCGAAAGTAAAAAGAAAATAATGCACACGATATCTTGAGGCATAAATGGATGGGTATATAGAGGATGTAGGTGGGTTCATCCACATTTTTTCCCGTGTGATCAGGAACATGGTGTGTAATTTGAAGGTCTTCCGTTTGAGCATGCTAGTCATGGGTCGGTCTTTTTTTTTCCACCATCATGAAAAGTGCCACAAATATTTGCACCATCAACATTTATACTTTGGTCAAGCTTTCAAACAGTACAGAGACTAATTGGAATATACTGGGCACTATATTTAGTTATTGAAATTTCGATAAGTTTCTTATGTAATGGATTTGTAATTTTTATAGCTTCCCTTTACAAAGTTATGATGTTTATGATGACAATTGAATTATGTGCATGAAGTGCGGTGCCTCCAAGGGAAAATTCTGAGATCTACCACTTGTGGTATTAAAAAAAATCCAGTGTTCTAACATTTTTATTACAAAATCTTTGGGAGGCTTCTTGTTAAGCTGTTTATTGACTTTTGAGGTTAACTTGCCGTCTATATTCTAGGTTTTGTCTCGCAGAAAGATATTAATATAACCATATTCTATAAATAAACTATGAATGCAATAACAAGTACACAAAACACAGAATGAAATGCAAAACGTAAGTTGCATTGAAAATAAAATAGCAGTACATACAAGAAATGTGCAACCTTGATTAAGAAATGTTTTACAATTAGCTTGGACATAAACTAGCAACTCAGATAACATCCTAATGAAACCAATTTAATGATGTTTCTACACATTAAGGAATAATGTTGTAAGAATGATACATTTTAAAAGCTCTTTATATTTATAAATGAGTAGAGTACATTTTTTAGTTGCACGTGTGTAACTACTTAACTTTACTCAGAGCAATATTGTATATGTTTTTAGGGTTGTGACGCCTCGGTGCTACTCGAGTCAACACCAGGGAACACGGCGGAGAGGGACTCGAAGCCAAACAACCCCAGCTTGGATGGTTTCGAGGTCATAAGTGACGCCAAGGAGATTCTTGAGAAACTTTGCCCACAAACCGTCTCTTGTGCCGACATCCTAGCCCTCTCCGCTCGTGATGGAGCCTTCCTTGCTAGCGGGCTCGACTATGCCATTCCAACGGGCCGGCGTGATGGACTCGTCTCCAAGGAAGACGAGGTTCTCCCTAGTGTCCCTCACCCCGACTTCCGCCATGATCAGCTTATCGAAAACTTCACTGCAAAAGGTAACATACACATCAGTACATACAGACATATAATAGTCGTGCACAACCACATACTTTACGCGTACATACTATATTCTTTCTTAGAATGTGCATAGGTCAATCATTTCTTGGTTTTGGCATCAACATAGAAAATATTACCGACATATACAACACAAATGCATGACACTACATCTACCTTGAAACATGCTCTTATAATACAATACTTACTTTCTAGTGAAGCATGATATTATTTATATAAAATCATTGATCAAAGTGTAACCGTGAAGACCTTGTAATATAATATCTAACGGGCGTATATTGTGACACTGAGAAAAATACGTCAGCCTTTGTTTAATGTACAGGTTTTACGGCCGAGGAGCTGGTGACACTGTCCGGAGCCCACTCCATCGGCACCTCACACTGCTCATCGTTCACGGACCGTTTGTACAAGTACTACAACAACGGTGCATACGGCACGGACCCGGCGATTCCGGCGGCGTATGCTGCGCGTCTCAAGAAGAAGTGTCCGCCGTCGACGGCGGCGCACAACGACACCACAATGGTGCAGCTCGACGACGTGACACCATTCGTGATGGACAACCAGTACTACAAGAACTTGCTGGCCGGCACGGTGGCGTTCGACTCGGACATGGCGCTCATGGACGACCCTGAGACGGCCGCCCTCGTCGACCTCTACGCCCGGGAGCCCTCGGACTACTGGACCAAGCGATTCGCCGCCGCGATGGTGAAGGTCAGCGAGATGGACGTGCTCACTGGCAGCAAGGGGGAGATCAGGCTGAACTGCTCCAAGGTGAACTAGTAATTGATTGAGCTATTGGTTGGAATGCTGCGTTTGTCTCTGTATGTATGCTTGGGGAAATTCACGATATATATTGTTCTATTGTGTTACTTATTTTTCTTTGGTTCGTTTTTATATGGTGGTGTGAAATATGGAAGCACATTTCCAAGAAAGCATATTATTCGATTTGAGTTGTGAATTTGACAAGAAACAATAATGTACTACTAGTCCTACTACGTCATGTTTGTACATTTCCCTTTTATTTATGCATTTGATTCGACTACTATCACTTTGTGAACTTCTTGATGAAATGGTTCAGATTTTAGGTATTCGGATGTTTTATTGAACTGTGGTCGATCAAGTAAACAGAGTTAACACAATCGCAACCAAAGGCAAAGCTAGAGCCTTCCTCAACCCACGCCACCAGAAAGAGGCAAGAAGAAGGGCAATGGATTATTGCTATCATGAACAATGGTAAATGATGCTTAAGAATTTGCATGAAAAAAATAAACAAAAATACAATACCGACAAATCCCTCCATCTTAGCCACTTTCAGATAGACCAAATTGTGCCCGCCCACCTTCTGTTAGATTGACCACAAAATTGACAAGTAAACTAATGAGAAAATGATTGTCTTTAAGTCACACTACACTTGGCTACACAAAACAAGTGAAGTATTTTGTCTTACAGAAAACAACTGGCAAACAATTCCAGAGAAGCTCTCAGTTTCATTTTTGAAGTTAAGGTGTCACCAAAAACCATCCATACCTCGAAAACTCCAGAAATGATGCACTCATCCATCCCACTCTGCTTGCGACACTTTGCTCTTTCCCCAATGTCCAATGCAGGTAAAGCTTAAGGCAATTTTACATAAATATTTGGGCTTGCTATATTGGATACCCTTAGAGACGTAGTTTTAGATAAATATTTGGGCTTACGATTGTTTTAAACATCTTCTCGACTTGTAAGCATGAGGTAAAAGGTGGTGTTAAAAGCAGTGGCACAAGTAATAGTGGTGTATGCAATGTCTATATTCAAGCCATAGAAATCACGGATGCAATATGGCAATTCTGGTGGGAGGATGATGCCAACAAATCAAAAGATATATTGGTTTAGTTTGCCAGCTGGAAACAGTGTATCCCTAAAAATATGAGTGGTTTGGGTTTTCTATATCCTCATTGCTTTAATGTGGCAATGCTGGCAAAAGAAGTCTAAAGGTTGATGTGTGATTTGAAGTCACTTTGTGTGTGGGAGAGTACTACGAGTGAAATACTATTCAGATGGTAGACAAATAAATGGTAGTAAGATGAATAGTGGATTATCCTTTACATGACAAAGCATACTGGCAGACATCCAAGCTTTTAACCGGGGTTCCATATGGAGAGTGGAAAACCGTACACAAATTGATATATGGGATGATAAATGGATTCCGGATTACCCCCACAACACGAATTATCACTCCCAAGAAGAGCTTGGCTACGACTAAAAAAAACTTAGTTGTTGGGAAAAAGGTTTCTGACTTACCCAACAATAGACTTGTGGGACGAAGACCTCTTGCGTGATCCCACTGTCAACGCACAAATTGAAGGATTTTGTAGCTTGAAGGTTCACAAAAAAACGTCTTGTTCTCGGTAAGGTCGGCATACCATGGTGAGTGGACACATCAGCTTGGGGACAAGGACAGAAGCTTCATAGAGCACGAGAATCGTCAAATAATCTCATATGAAAGATCATGTAGAGTCATAATAAAGAAAAGGATCTTTCTATGGCACATCTAGATAAGACTTAATTTTTTTAGGGGTAGATAAGACTTAATCAAGTTTTGTCTAAAAGGTGAGATGTTATGGTCCCTTTTCTCTTATCTCCCTGGCCTTTTTTCTGGGTCCCCAATGTTTTGGGGGTACGACATTCTCACGATCATGAGGACACTAGGGCCAGGCTCTTGGGTGGGATGTCATGTTTTTTTGAACAAAAGCAAGTCGTGCTTGAAGGTTGAGCCTTTGATTGTTTGCAATTTTTCTTTGTCCCATAAATCCAGGCTCATGGGCTTTTCTTTTATTTTAGTTGTTAGGTTGTTCCGTAACAAATTTCCTTAGGGGCAACACATGGATGGTGAGAAAAACATGAACAAATTTGGCCTTTTTAGAGCAGTTCCAATCTAGACTTCATGTCTGCACAGTAGACACACATGTGCTTGCTCGCCAAGGAGTTTCTCATCTTTTTTTCTTAACTTTGAATTTTTGGGTGAAGTAAAAAATCTTCAACGATTCTTAAAAAGTTTCACAAAACTAAAAAATAGTGATGAAATAAAAATATGTTTGTGAATTCAAAGAAAATGTTAGTGAATTCTAAGAACAAAGCAAATTTGAAAAAAGGATTGTTAATTTTAAAAATGTTTATGAATCTAAAAAAACATGAATTTAAAGATAGTTCACTATTTATGAAAAAGTTCATCAACCAAAAATGAAAAAAAAATCATGAACAATTTTTTGAAACTATGGACATGCAACTGATCAACGACCTGCCCCTCGTTGCAGTCACATTGGGGCCATACAGTTGCAAGTCTAGTGGTGGGCATACAACTCACAAGCAACCCCTTACATGACGAGTTGCACTCGTGAGTCGTGTTGAGGGCCATACTGTTGCAGTCGATTTACCATACTTGCAGTTGCAAGTGTAGTGGTGAATATTCAACTAGTCACACAAGATTTGCAAAATAAAGTTTACAAATTCTTTATAAGTTCATGAATTTAGAAAACTCAAATATGAAAAATCATCATGATGAATTTGAAAAAAAAACATAACTTGAGAAGATGTTATTTAAAAAAACTCATGAATTCTAAAAAGTGTCCACACACTTCAAAAAGTTTTCATGTACTAAAAATACTATGGATTAAAAATGGGGAAGAAAAGAAAATGAAAAAGAGGAAAAATATGAGAATGAAAATAACAAAAAAGAAAAAGATACTCCTTCCGAGCCATATTAATTGTCATAGTTTAAGTACAAAGTTGCACAAAACATGCGACAATTAATATGGATCGAAGGGAGTAGAAAACAATCAGTACAAAAATCACCATAAAAACGAGAGAAAGATAGCACCTCAAAACCACCGCGTGACCATGGAGACACAAACATATAAAAAAGCAAAAAACAAGGAAGGAATGAACAAATGTAATGGATCAACGCACAGATGGATAAGCCCACGGCCAAAATGGCTGGATGAAAAATTAGTGACTTGTTAGACGCGGGTGGGCGACCCTATGTCTCGCTTAGAGCAAGACGTAGGGAAGCCTCACTGAAGGCGAGAGCGACATGGCCCGGCTCAGGTGCAAGGGAGGACACAACATCACTTTTTTCTCAAGAAAAAGTTACATGTTTTTCGTTTTGTTTTTTTGCTTAAATTTCATATTTTTTATGGTTCCAAATATTATAAGTAAATATATGACAAAAAACACTTTAGATAAAACATTAAAAAAATATTGACCAAGCATTTGAAAAATGTTAAAATATGTATAGAGAAAATATGTTTCATGTATGTGAGAAATGTACACAAAAGCATACACATTGTGTAATAAAAAGTTGCTCATGTATTTTTAAAAAATAAAAAATTGAAAACAAATGTTGACCATTTATTCAAAAAAGTTAAACTTTTACATTAAAAATGTTAAACTTTTATATTAAAAATGTTAAATGTGTGAACAAAAAAAGGTTGACCTTGTATTAAGAAATGTTGAGCTTGTATTTGAAAAATGTTAAATTTGTAGTTAAAAAATGCTGACCATCTATTCAAAAAAGCTTAAATTTATATTTGAAAAATGTTAATGTGTATATAAAAAATGTTGACCATGCTTTCAAAAAATGTTAGACTAGTATTCAAAAAATATTAATCAAGCATTTGGAAAAAATGTTTAATGACAACAAACAATATTGACGATGATTCAAAAATGCTAACCTGGTATTTAAAAATGTTAATCAAGAAAATGAAAAATGTATTAGATAAATACACCAAAATACAATTTACACAAAACATTGAAAAAACGGTTGAGCAAGCTTTTCAAAATTTTAAATACGTATAGTGAAAATCTTTCTTATGTATATGAGAAATGTATACATAAAATATACAATTTGTGTGAAAAAAGTTCATCATATATTTCAAAAAATATAATCCACACATTTGACAACATATGTTGACAATGTATTAACAAATGTTAAACTTGTATTTTAAAATTGTTAAATGTGTAAACAAAAAATGTTGACAATGTATTCAAAAAATGTTGAGCTTGTATTTAGATAATGTTAAATTTGTATTCAAAAAATGTTGACTGTGTATTCAAAAAAGGTTAAACTTATATTTGAAAAATGTAACATGTATATAAAAAATGTTGACCATGCTTTAAAAATATGTTAGACTTGTATTCAAAAATATTAATCAAGCATTTGGGAAAAATGTTAAATGTGTACACAAAATATATCGACCATGTATTCAGAAAATCTTAATTTCATATTTGAAGAATGTTAATCAATAATTTGAAAAAAATTCAAAGTATTTAAAAAATGTATTAGGTTTATATACCAAAAGTCAATTTAAGTAAAACATTAAAAAAATTGAGCAAGCATTCCAAAATGTTAAATATGTATAGAGAAAATCTTTGTCATGTATATGATAAATTCATACAGATAAATATGAAATTTGTGTGAAAAAGTTGGTCATGTATTTTAAAATTTTATTCCAAACATTTGAAAAAATGCTCATCATGTATTCAAAAAATATTGCACTTTTATTTAAAAATATTAAATGTGTATATAAAAAATATTGAACTTGTATTTGAAAAATGTTAAATGTGTATAGAAAAAATGTTTACTATGTATTAAAAAATAGTAACTTGTATTCGAAAGTTTTTTAATGTGTATATATAAAACGTTGACCGTGGTTTCAGAAAATGATAAAATTGTATTCGAAAAATATTAATCAAGCATTTGGAAAAAATGTTAAATGTGTATAGAATTTTTTTACCATCTA